CCCTTGGTCCGCGCCTGCTTTTGCAGTCGAGCCTAAATTTTTGCTATTGTTTGCAGCAAATCCCCCAACCCTAAATTTGTTTTTGATCCTTTTTAAGTTTTTTTTGATCGGTCGAGCCTAATTTTTTTTTGATCCATTTTAATTTTTTTTTTGATCCTTCATCCGCTAAGTACTTGTTTGCCTCACGGCAGGTCATTGCGGAAGCATGCCGAGAGCGTCCAAAGGAGCTCAAGCAGCTCAAGCAGAGACATGCTCATGCACAAACCCCAGATCCTCCTGCTCGCTGCGCAGGACGCTGCCCGCGAGGAGGCCGCTGGGAATCCACACTGATGCTGAAAGTCTCCTCTGGCACAATGGGTAATCACCTGTGGCGAATGGGAAGGCTTCAACTGCAGCTCCGAACTACTTTCGGATTCGGAGGCACGAGCGTGGAAGCTTCTGAGAATCGAGCCCAGTGGCCAATGTAGAGTGTGCCGAGGAATGGAAGCGTGGACGAAGAGTATGCCACCTCGACATGGGTTCCTAGAAGCCTAAGCCTGGTTCTAGCTTTGTCACGCGCTCATGACTCGGCTGATTCTGTCCGCGTCTGTGTTCTGGACTTTGTGGTCACTGAGTTTTCAGTGCATCTGAATTTCATTTGGCATAACTGCAATCTGTGTTTGCCGTGAATTGAGACACCTTTGCTGGCATCGTGTTACAGAGCGTAAAGAATCAGAATATTTACACTTCGCTTGGGCGAAAGCACTTGGCGCGGAAATGCCCATGAGGCAAAACTGAAAGACATAACTGGGTCCCAGTTGCCTGCAATTTACATTGTTGTTATAATAAAACCCAACAAGGATTAGCAATGCCCACTTTTCATATCCCCAACAGGGAACCAGATAAAGCGAACGCCCGAGCTCAAGCAGCCTCCATCTGCGAGTCTCGCCGTGTCCTTTCGTCATTTCGGCATGTCGACTCAGCTTCGGGCCTAGACCATCATCTGCCTGAAGGTCCTGGACCTCGGGTTGGGTTAGTTCAAAGCCTGCGTTCTTGTTAAGGGATTTAATTCAAGCTACCACAATAGGGATCTATAGTAAAAAGAAATATGGTTTCCTTGTTATGGCAACTTAGATTGAATCTCTTATCAGAAGAGAGAATGCCAGTGGAGCGAAACCCTGGCTCCAGGCGACACCGCTTCGCTGCACCGTGCCAGGTGGTCGTGACCTCCAACAACCCAACCTCTTTCGCCCGTGGAAAAGGCCCTACACCAGCGGCTGCTTCTCGGCAGAATTTCGAGTTCCTACAAATATTCCAGTTCCTTGCAGTGGAGCAGAAGCGAGCAGGGTTTTGCTATGCTTGGCTGCCGAATTGAGCAAGTCGTGGGCACGCCATGAGGCAGCAAGCGGATTTTGCCCGGGCCCCCATCGTTTTTGTCCAGGGATGCATAGGTCGTGAGGTCGCGGTGTGTGTGTGTGTGTGCGACGGATGTGTTCATGACTGAATGAAATATCGGATCTTCATGGATCTCAGAGCTGATCTGATCTGATGCGAGCGAGAGATGGCCCGCGTAGGCAGCAACTTGAGTCGAATCGCCCGCGCATTGGAGCAGCTTGCGATGAGGCTCAGCTCAGTCGGGGCGGGGAGTGCAGAGCACCGGGTCTTTCATGGTCATGTTGGGCTGCTTATTCCCGGCTGCACCCGTGGGATGTCTCGGGAAGCCATAGCATTGTGGGATCAAGCCCTTCTGGCCCACGTATACTTTCACTTTGTGCTGCGGACCCCGCTGCTCGGTTGCAATGCGCAGGGCGAGCAGGGACTTGCTTGAAGTGGTTCTACGCGGTTCTACAGCTTCTAACTTTCCTGCAACCATAAGATCCCTAAGAACCCTAGGGCCCTCAACCCCGGAGCGGCCATTGGCGAAGGTCTTCCTGTTGCAACCATGTCGTTCATGCTTCCGCATCTTCACTCGGGCTGGGCTGTGGATCAGGCCATCCTAAGAGCCTTGGCAAAATCAGAGGCGTGTCCGTGGTACCTGGGATTTAAAGGAATCTTTAGAACAAGGATCTTACTTTGCGGAGAGGTTCCATTGACTGCAGGGGTACCTGTGGCTATGAGGGTTTCAAGGGGGTTGCGCAGGGATTTCTTAAGCTGAGGGGCCACTGAGGGGCACAGTAACTGATGTGAGGTGAGGAGGATCCGACCCTGTACAGTATAGACGAGGGTCCCCTGTTTTCTGACACTATCAGCCCAGACTGGGGAAATGCTCGCTGCTACCTCTGCGCAGCCCAGGTGAAGAGGAACGTCTGGTGATCATTCGCTTTGGGCACGACTATGACTCGGAGTGCATGAAGACTCTTGGCCGTTGCAAGTTGGCACGAACTCTACTCAAATTCCCTTGCTCTTGCACGATGGCTCTGTCAAGGATGGATGAGATCCTGTATTCTGTAGCTGCAACTCACCTGCAAGAGGGCCGGCCGAGCCTTGAAGTGATGGTGTGAAGAGCTGGGCTAGACAAGGAGAAGATCAAGAGCTTCGCCATCATCTACCTTGTGGATGTGAAGGAAGTGCCGGATTTCAACACCATGTACGAGTGCCCTGGTCATGAGTTATTGCATGGTGCACTTTGTCCGTTTTGCAGCTTATGCCGCTGCCACCAAGGCTGTACGACCCTGTCACGGTTATGTTCTTCTTCCGAAACAAGCACATGATGATCGACTTGGGAACAGGTGTGGCTTCTGCATGTGCTTGCATCAGGAGCTTCGCCGTCCTGTCGTCTTCAGGTAACAACAACAAGGTGAACTGGGCCATGAATGACAAGCAGGCATGGGTTGCTTTTGTTTGTTTTCTCAGGGTGACGAGGTCACATGTGCCTTACAATCAACGAGCTTCGAAAAGATACAACGGCAGCATGACCGTGCTCGTCAGGAGTTCATTGACATCGTGGAGACTATCTACCGTGGCGCCCGCAAGGGCAGAGGTCTGGTGATGTCCCCAAAGGACGCAGCACATGATCTGGCTACGTACGCTCTAGCTCAAAATTGCTCTGGGTCAGATAGCACAGCAATTCACGCAATGCCCTGTGCAGGACTACTGTACGAAGTACAGGTACTAAGCCGCCGTCCAAGGCCCGAAAGCTGCAATCGGGGCCTGCACGGCTAGACAAACACTTCGTCGATGTTGCCCTGCCGGAGCTGGGATTTGCACCATCCCTTTTGTGAACCTGAGGCAGGTCTGGAAGCTGAGTGGCATCAGAGCCGCTTGTCGAAGGGGCGGCGTGTTTACGGCCGCAAAGGTTCAATCCTCTGCATGCCGCAGGGCCGAGTGGCTCACAAGTCTGGTCCAGCAAGATTTGATTTGAAAGATACAAAAGAAGTGCATAAGTTTGGAGAAAGGGCCGGATGCATGCAGGCTTCTAGGCCCCTAGGCTCGTGAGCAGCCGAACATGCTGCTTGCGCCCACTTCCAGATTTGACGGACAGGCACCAGGTCATGGTGGATGTTGTGCATTGCACTACTGTAAACTGAATATCAGCCGCTTGCCCAGACAGCACAGGACAGAAGGTCCCACTTTGAATCTGACCATGTGCGACGAAAAAGCAGACGCTTCGGCCAGCCGACGGGCTTGGGTGAGCTGAGGGTGTGTGCCACAGACTGAGGCCACTAGACGGACATGTCAGGTAGGAAAGGGCTAGATTAGTGTCGAACTGTACGGAATCTCAAGGCACCGAACAGCCCCGACAGGCTTGCAGAACATGCACCTGTGGAAGCGCTGTCGCTCCTCCTGCGCGTGGCAACCTCGGAGTCGAACCTGAAAGGCTGCATAGGGCTGAACTTGGGCCAAGAAACTAGCATAAACCGTCGCATAGCAGTTATGTAGGACCGGAACTGGATGGTCAAGGTAGACCTCCAAAGCCGTAGCTCAACGTGACTATTCCCCGCCAAACCCGAACGCCGGAGTTCCGCATTGCGAGAGCCGATTATGCTAAGCTGCCACGTGGCTGCCAAGGCTCTGGCACTCCTCGAAAAGGTGTTGACCTTGATCTTTTCTTGCTTGGGGCAACCACCGCTCCGGCCGCGAAACCTGCTGAGGCTCTTAAAGTGTCTTTGGATGATGAGCAGATGGGCGCACCACTGCCGGAAGCTCATTCTGCTGCAGTAGGTCTTCGTGCTCAACAGGGAGAAGGATCCACGGCGATAAGACCAGATTTATACCTTGCATTTGGACTCTCGTACTCGGGCCTCCTGTGTGTGGCATCAGGCGAATGTGATGTTCTCTGCGCCAGGCGTAGTGACTTCTCGCGGACATTGGCGTCTGCTGAGGAGGCGAAATCGAATATTAAACCCCTAAACCCTAGACCCTAGTGGAGCCTTGCCTGCCTGGTGCGAGTGTGGGAGTCGAAACGCTAAACCCTAAGTCCTTGCTAAGTGGGAGGGAAAAAAACCCTAAACCCACCATGCTTTGGCTTCGAACAGGTCGAGAAGCAACTGAGAGCGGCTATTTCCGCGGAGTCCGGAGCCGAGTTTTGGGGATTCGAAAGAAGGCAGAGAGTGGTTCACGAGGTCTACATCCCAACCGAACCGTGCAATTTTCGAGTCACCATCTCAGCCAGTGTTTGGGCGTATATGCGACTGAGGGCCAAGAAAGTTGAAAGCCCAAAACTGGTCCAGACATCGCCAGGTCCGCAGTGCAGCACGCGAAAGACGCTGCGGCCGGCTCCTCCAAGAGATTTCCCAAAGCAAGCGGGGGAATCGGTGGATTCAACCACCGAGGTCGTCCTTTCTAAGGGCCACGAGGCAGGCTGCCGCTGCAAGGAAGATTCGTAGGCTCCTGATTGCTGATTCTGGGATGCTCACTGCTCCTGCTTGCAGCTGTTAATTATTACAGAGGAGGGCATAGGGGCGCCTAGCTTCCGCAATCCTGCTTGGGAATTCCCGGCACAGGCCAGCCGTTGTTTCTGCGAAGCGGCTGTCATCAGAACCAAGCAGACAGAAGAGCCGGAAATCTGAGGTAATGGAGGCTAGCACTACGTCGCCGCAGCAAAGAGGCCACACCAGCTTCGACTCTAAATGATGTTCTGTGCCAAGCACTCAAGGCGCAGCAGTGACGCCTCTTGATCCTGCGTGCTCTGGTTGTTCTTCTTGCTCTCCAGGCTACAATGCAGAAGACCTGGAGTCTCAGGGTGCTTTGGCCTTGAGACTTCAGGGCACCAATCCTTTGCAGAGTTTCGAAGCTCCACAGTGCAGGCATTTAGGCAGCGTCCTGAAGCTACAAGCTCTAGTAGTGAATCTAGTGAGATTTCGAGCCTCGCGTCCTGCACGGGCTACACCTGATCTTCGCAGAGAAGCACTCATTGGCTTCACACTGACCATGCTCACACCCCTAGTTCTGTCGACGGGACTGATCACCGAGACATCGGCGCAACCTATACCCCAGGCGAGAACGGAACGAGCGATGGCGTCGAAGACAGCGAGGACGACAGCGAGTCTACACCGAAGGTTCCTGAGCAGCTGTCTTCACGGGAGTCTGACGGCTGTTGTGAATTGTTTGCATGTCGCGGGTTCCAACCATTGCCCTTCGAGAGGCGACTCGTGATGCCAGCACCAGTCAACTGCATCCTGACGACAGCAGCTGGTTTGCATCTAAAGCATGCACATCAAGATTTCGTGGTTGCCACGGCAAGTTTCACAAGCTTGAATCTCTGATGTTGGCACTCATAGCCCACCTTATCAGCTACCGATGCTTGATTGATCTCAGGCATGCACAAGCCCCCGGGCTGCACTTATGATACAGTGCGTGACGCCCGAAGTTGATCGACTTGATTTGTTGACTCTGCAAGCGCCGCGGCAACTGCAACTCAAAGAACTCACAGGCCTAGGTATGATTATGTCACTATGTCAATGCTGATGTTGGCCTCAAGGTACTGGTATGAGACCACCGTGCGGCTGAGATGTATATTCTTTGTGTGCCTGATTCGCAGTATGGAGATAGAGGTGTCCATCCAGGAGTTGGAGGAACCTTCAACAGTGGATCCCTTAAGGTTCTTCTCCCTCGCCATTGTGCTGGCAGTTGCCCTGGGCTCCACAACTGAATGTTTCTTCGCCCTGCTGGCAACACCACCATCGCAGGCACAAGAGCACGTTCCAGCTTTGCACCAGTCATGTGGTGAACCTGAGAGTTTCGCACCCGACACTTGTTTTTTCTCATCTCTGCCTCAGGGCCTGTCAGCAGGAGACTCTCGGCTACACTTTGAAATTCGGTCGGAACAGTTTTGGATTTTGAGCTTCGGTAATCCATCCCTGGAATGAGGTGGTGTTCGCGTGCGTGAGACATGGCTGCAAAGAAAGCACCCCGTACTCCTTGCCACACCAACAAAAGCTTGGGAGTATGTTGGGGGGGGACCCCTAGTGATGACAAGGTTCGTTCCAGCATTTTTGCTGGTCAGTGCGATCTACGTGGACGAGTGTATTGACATGGGGCTGCTCGGTGCTGAACTCTGGACTGCTGCCCAAGAGAGCCATGAGCCATGTGGGACTTTCCGAAAATTAGGGTACCTTATTGTGGGATCCTTGTAATAAGGATCCTACTATTTAGGGTACTGTATTAGGGTTCCCTATTTTCGGAAACCCCCATGTGTACTATCCTGGAGACACACAACTGCTGCAGTTAGACATGGTTCGGATGGCAAGGGCGGTCAAGGCGATGGCTGACTCCCACCCAGTCAGTTCAAGGGTGCCCGCACGGCGATTGGTTGTAAACAGATCCTTCTTGCGGCTACAGTGCTACAGGTTATCGGATTCTGAGGAGCAGCTTCCCATAGTCTCTCCGCAGCCTATCAATGGCTGGCGCTCTCGGTTTTTATCTGAGGCTGGATGCGGCAGATCGGCCGTCTTTCGGATTGTTCAGGCGCTGCTGCACCTACTCCCCAGCTGGACAGCCTTGGCATGGCGGCATGAACCACGGGAGCGGTGACAGTGAAAAACGCTTCTGCTTGCAGCTAACTACATGCCACATTGCTAGACATCCTCTCAATAAAGGCTCTTGGTGTCGTTTCCACAGCCTTTAGTTGTTGCTGCTCCACTTGCCAGGGCAACGGTTACCGTTGGCTTGAAGGCGATCTCTGACAGGGTCCAAACCGACCACATTGCCCCTCGGCATCAGAGAGCTTCTCTTCGCGGAGCTGGACAGATGGATAACAAAGTGGATGCCCAAAGTATTTCACAAGCTGCTACACCGACTTGGACTCCAGCCGCAACTGCAGCTGTCAGGTTCATGCTTAACGCCTTTTCGCGATTCGTTTCTCATGTTTGTGGCAATGCAAACATTACGTGCTGCTTCGGCTTTCAGGAGCGATCGTTGATCGTTGCCCTGGAGTCGTTGCTCGGCCTGGCCATTCACCATTGAGGAAGCTGGACTTTCTTGGAGCGACTGCTTGTTGATCGTATGCAACCGAAAGGAACTCGGGTAGCTCGGATGCACACCTGTCAGGTTACCCATCATCTTCGCCATAGTGACTGTAGTCTTCGCGGACATGAAGGTGTACTGGTACAAGGCTGCTAGAGAGCTTCGTGGAGTTATGCACTGTAGCACTCGCCACTGCCAGATGCTGACAGGACTTTGCCCGTGGCTACTGTCTTGGTGGCCTTGTTTTCGCCATGTTGTCTTGGCCTCATCCCTGCAGACTTGCATACCTGAGTTGAATGAAACCGGCGGTACTTCGCATGATGCAGGATGCTGGTACTGATCATGCAAGCGCACGTCTGACGTAGCTAAGGGTTTGCATTATGTACATCCTCTGTCACATCTACGTTGGCCACAATCCCGAAAGGGACGAAATGATGGCGATCACATATCATAATATGGGCCACCCGGCAGGAAGAAGTTTCGAGGAGCGCTCGCAGAGGACCAATCGTTCCGCATCCTAACACGTGCTGGCATCAGGTCCTCTTGGAAGGTTCAAGCGGGTAAACAAGAGACCAGACAAGCCTCTGGTCGATGCACGGCCTCACTGGGGCAGAGTCGATGCTGCATTAGTTTCAGGGCCCTGAGTCGAAATGGTTAAGGGGGGCCGTGCTAGCACCCCCGTTGAAACCTTCGGAGCCATGTCAAGTTTCCTGCATGGGGCTAAGTGGCACTGTAGTTCATACTTTCGAGGTTGTGTTAGGTGCATTGCATACCTTTAAGGTCGTGTTGTGTTCATGGGAGCTAAGGATCAGTGCTGTACTTCCTGATCGGCTTGTCCCTGGAAGTCCTTGCACCTTTCCTCAACATCTCAGTTCTTCGCCTAGAACGCTTCTTACTATCGGAGATCTGAGGTAGTAATCCTCTTCATCATCTTGCATGACTTCTTTACTGCGCCTGGGCTGGCCGAACAAGCCTTTACAGCCGCTGCTGCAAGTTTTGTGAAGATGAGTAAGTGGGCGGGCATCGATCGAGGCATGTGTCTGGCCGAAGACGCACGCCTGGCCCAACAAACTTTCGACACCTCCAGCGTGAAGGCTGAAAGAGTCATCCACAAACAACGCAATGCAACAACAGCCAAAAAAGCCAACCACGACGCGATGACGAACGAAAAGGCCTAGACAAAGCAGGAGGGCGTGTTTGCTTCCGAACAAAGCAACCACTAGGCAGGCCCGCCACCTGCATCCACCGAGGAAAGTACTGCCCGCAGGCATGCCATCTTCGCGATAGCTTTGTTCAGCGCAGCTCTTCCCACAGAGGTCACCTCCGCTTAGGGCAGCGCGGCGATCGAGCGCCTATCATTGCAAACACGCTTAGGCACAGACCCCTCTGCAGATGAAAAGGACTCTAGAAGGGACCCTAATTTAGAGAAGTACTTACGAAAAGATATATCAGCCAACTGCTAAGTGGCAGGCGGCTCAATGGCTTGTTTGTTCTCCTGCGGGTGGCGTCGCGGCTTACAACTACAAGCCAGCTAGTCAGCTGAGGTGTTTATCGGGCAGCTCCTTCGCGGCATTTCTGTGCTTAGGGACAAGCAATGCCTACGCAGTTCCCAGGGGGGACCGTGTTGTTTGTAGCTTGCTGAAAGTCATCTTGGCGTTTTTTTTGCAGTCGGATCCTAAACTAATCGCCACATCTGAGCAGTCTGTATCGGACAACAGTAGCAGCATGAGTGCGAACAACGACAACAGTCATACCGAAAAGTGTCATGTGGATTTTAAAGTGGGCCCTTCGATCATACGGTTGATATAAATCTTGCATTACCCGTAATAATAGGGATATGCCATAATTCCCACAGTTTAGGGTCCTTAAGGTGATGTAGGATTTATATCATCAACCGTATTGAGGCTGCTGGCGACCATCTTTTGGGCCCTCTCCGTGCGCCAGTATGCGCCCCGTTTGTTGGGCAAGGCATTCTGGATCACTTTTGTGTAGCTTGGCCGCAAATCAATGGGTTTAGGGTTTAGGTCAATCCCAACAAAGGCGACGACACGGATCATGGAGATGATGCACGCGCGTCGGTAAGTATGGTTACGATAACTAGCAGGCAATGATGTGCGGGTTGATTCAATAGTTTCAAAAGATTACAATTACAAGTTTTCTACCCCTTTGCTACGATTGCATGCAGGTTCTTCATCCTTCTGACTGCCACCAAGCTGCACGAAGTGTCCTCTTGGTCTAGGATTTTGCGGGGTCTTGCTAGAACTGGGAGCAACACGGATCCACATGTCACCAGGTTGGCCTCCTCATGGGCACACTGGCAAGCGCCAGCGTGGGTCGAAGGGGAGGGAAGCTCTTGGAGCCCCTTGTGCTAGGACACCCTGCGGTTTAGGGTTTAGGGCTGAAGGGGGGGGCGAGCTCAGTTCAAGCCTGTGGAAAAGGGCTGAAGGGGTTTAGGGTTTAGGGCAAGTTTAGGGTTTACTAGGTTTAGGGTTTAGGGTTTTGCCTGCAGTCTGGGTTCAAAAAAAGGGTTTTGCCTGCAGTGATGCTGGGGACCGGGCTGCTATGAACGAGGCCTGCTGTAAAAGGGTTTTGCCTGCATGACTTACGATCTTTGCTTTGGCGGCAACTAGCTTAGAGCCCTCGAGCTTTTTTCTGCCAGGACCGATGGCACCTGGCTATGGGGCCAAGGGAGGGTCGTTTAACGACCTGCCACAGAACTTCACGGTGTCAGCAGGATCTCCGCACTTAGGCGCATCGGAGCTCCGTGTTGTCGCAGAGCCCAAGAAGTCTGCATGCCATGTTTCACACCCTGACATGGTGAAGCTGAAGACGGACAGGCTATCCGATTTGCTCAACCGTGTGGCGATACCCTGGCACTCCAACCGATTCTTGCGTCGAGAATCATCGGATTGGGACTTCTGGAGGTCCAGTCAGTGCCGTAAGGAGGGTTAGGGTTAAGGTTTCGGGTGTTTCGGGTGTTTCGGGTTACGGAAAGGGTTGGGGTACTTGCTGAGGATCCTCCCGAGGAGCGTGGCCTGGACATCTTAGACCTGTCCGTCCTGGCCTATGCCAGTTCTTTCTTTGATGAGGCAGACGTGAGGCCGGAGTCTTATCCCCTGCACCAGTCGAAGGTCTAAGGCCATGCTTCGTTATTCTGGCTCCTTTTTTGTCTTTTGCGCAGTCGCCTCTTCAAATCGATACCCTCCAAAGCCCATCCGACTCCCCCCCAAATGATGCCAGCTTTTTTGAGGCGAGGCTTGGGGGACATGCTCAATGGAACGCACTTGGCCGACTGGGAACTCCTAGAAGTGACTTGGACTTGGTACAGGGTCGGCTTTTTCTCATGGGGTTCTTACACTACTTGTAGGATATTGCAAGGTTTGTTTGCTTGGAGGAGTGTAGGGCTTCTTTAGAGCAGGTGGGGATGCCATGGATAGGCCACGGCTAAGACTGCAGTGCATGGGGTGTGCCATAGCCAGGTGGAGAGCCCCAGGACCGGGAATCATGTCCAGTCTACTTGGAGGTTCATGGGTTGTTATAAGTGGGGTTATAAGTAGGGTAACTATAGCTATAACCTATTTTAGGGGAGTTATAACTCCACTTATGACTACCCATGAACCTCCCAGTAGTATGCTAGCTTGCTTGTACATGTGTAGGTAATGTGCAGGTGTAGATGTTTGTTCACATGCCTGTCATTCTCCAGGACGGTTGGACGCTGGATCGTGGTGTCTTTTCCGGGCCTGAAGCTGCGTGTTATCTCAGTCAGGGGGACATCCAATGTCCAAGATGCGTAGCTCTGTCGGCACAGACACGGAAGGTCAACTGTGTTTCAGGAATCGGTTGAAGACGTTTTTGCTTTAGTTAATGTTGTGAGTCAACGGTCATCGTCCGGGGGACATTCCTCGACCGCAACAGGTCGTCGTCTGCGTGGAGCACGGTGTTGAAACAAGTCGTCGCCTTCTGTTTATATTGTGGTTATGGTTTCCACCAGTCTTTTGACAATGGCACAGATTCTCTTGCGCAGAGGTATGCTGACCTGAAGGTCTACTCTGGAGTAGCCGTTGCACCCTGAGATGCCAGACGCTCGAAAACCTATTGCATGAAGCGACTGCGTGCAAGGTCCTCCAGATGACAAGCGTGTTTACGCGACCTGGAAGCAAATTAGCGCCTTCGGACATGAGCTGGTAGTACCTGATAAACTTCTGGCTGGCAGAGCCGTCGTCGTCACATAGGGCAATAAGGTTGTGCAAACTTTGCATGAAATGGCTGAAGTTGTTAAAATGACGTTCATTGCTGTCTTTGGGAGTCTGTGCCGAGTCGCAGTTTGTCAATTCGCGCAATCCTGCTGACATCCTTTCGTGCTGAATGCATTCTTACAGGCCTGTCCTGGCTCTCATGCCGACGGGCGTGACGCAAACGCACCATAGCTGCCCAGACTAAGGGGCATTGCTTCAGATAGCAGGTTGAGAACAAGGTGTCGGGTGACAGAAGGTGCCGGGAAACGTAGCTGGAGCTGAGAGATGGGAGAGGGAGGACTTTCCAATTGACCAGTGACAGTGATGGTTTCAGCACGCATGTGCTCACAAGAAGGTGCGTTTGAACGGAAGGCGATTAAACTAATTAGGTGTTGTTCGAGTTCTCAGGATGATGAGTGGTCGATTAAGCCGGACAATCTTCCGACACCATCACATAGCATTGGCGCTCAACAACGCGGTGAAGAGGCACGGTCTGAGCGGGGTGCTCCGTAATGCAGTACAAGGTGGTTGTAGCAGCACTTCCATCGGAGCCAATCAGGGATGACGAGTATAAAGAGGTTCTGTATGCTTGTGTCATATGAATAGCAAAAAATGGCTTTGATGTCATGATCAAATGCGCACGAGGATGTTGGGCCGTGCGGAGGGCCCGTGTACTTTGTAGGAGAGCTTAGCCTTCCGGTGAGGGCAGGCGTCCGTCATTCCTCGGCATTGGGGCAAACACACACAAGTTGTCTCCACCTCCCGAAGGCAAGGCTTACCACAGAAGATGATCTGTCAAAACTGAAAGCACCGCAGCATCCATCGCGCGGAACTGTTGACTTCCCTCTGACCGCTCATGGACGACACAACATCAGACTCATCAGACTCTTTCATGGGAAGGGGTGCTAGTTGATCTGCTGGCTCCAAGTCTAAATGACACTCTTAATAGCAATAATAATGATAACAATAGTGTATATATATATATATTTTTTATTTTTTTTTTGGGGGGGGGGGGCAGCGAGCCGAAGTCCTCTCACCGGCTGAGAGAGCGAGCCCTCTCCGCTTCTGAGAGGCACGAGGCCGAAGCAAAAGCTGCCGGGCAGAAGCTCTTGATGACTGGGCACAGCCTCGGAGGCGCAAGACGGTTCGAAGATGTTGGTGATTCACAATTTATCGGGTGAGCGTCGGTGTTGAGAGGAGTCCGGTATGTGTTGATTCAGTGTTGCTCGGCTTCTTGACTTCCTCGTTGTGTGTCGCCTTAAACTTTTTTGAAGTGTCAGGTGCATTGGTTGGTGCAGCCTCGGCTGCTCATGGAGTTGACGGCATTGGCTTCTCACCGCCCGGGTTGTACTACCAGGCCTCTCTGCGTTTCTTTCATGAACTTCTGTTGAACCCCCTTGTGCTGCGGAGGTCCAAAAGTTCGACCTGACGCTGTGCCTTGGCCGAGTTGTGGCCGTGTGTGACGGAACTGGCAGCTTGCATTGGGTCCCCGCTTCACTTCAGGGCAGACCTCCAATCTACCTTCGCGATTGTTCAGCCAGCAAACGATGTCGTCCCTCGTGCAGCGCTCAGAGCCTGTGGCGAGATATTTTCGGGCTGTGGCAAGTACCGGCAAGGTGTTGACAAGCAGCGAGGGATGATCCAATGGATTCAGTGCCTTGAGTCTGCTGCTCAATGTCATAGGCCGCAGCCTCAAAGACCAAAGACTCTGCTCCCTGACCTCACGTGGCTTTTGCAAGCCTGAGGTTAACCCACACTGCCTGTGAACTCTGGGCGCGATGTGGAGATTCAAGCAAACGAGACTGGCGGCAAACATGTTCGAGGTGGTACTCTGGAGGCCCTGCCAGACCGAAAATGGCTTTGCTCCGCCACCTTACAAAAGCTTCCTTGCGCTTCTTGAGGCCCCAATGGTGACATTAATCAGGAGCTCTGAGGTCTGATTGGCCCCTGTAACTTGTACAGACCACTTATCCCAAGCTCATCGGCAGCAGTTGTGCGAACGATGATGGCGTATAGTATAGGTGCTTCTGCTTGCGGCTTGTGGTTCTTGACCAAGTTGTTCAACGGAGTACCGTTGCGGGTTTTATGGAGTCATAGTGCACGAACACACACGCGTATCTTGACTTCTCATGCAATGCCGACGAGCTCAACATTGGCCCATCCGTCGCAACACTGTGGACGAACAGTGCATGGCATGCGGTTAATTTTTCACGCGACTCACGACCGAAGCTTGAGGGCAAGGAGCCCCGGCGCTTATCAGACATGATGGGCGGTAGTGAACTAGGCTGAAAATAGTTGTGCTTTTGCTGCCAGGGGGACATACTCATGCTGTGCTCTCAGTCGCTTTGAACACTGGCTTAATTACAGTTGGCCAATCGACGGCGCAAAGATTGCCAAGTAATTCAGAATGCACGTGCCAACACGGGCCCCGGAGAACACGGGAGCATCCTAGGATGCAGTGGCCCGGATTGAGCCAACGAACATAGCGGCTGGCTACGAAAGACCGATTCGAGTCGGTAGGTGCCACAGAATGGAGCTCAGTTTTTGTGTGGTTTGGCACTGCAGAGGTGGGTTCACCGCTGAGGTGCTTGCTCGTATGAAAGCAACACAGAACACTGAAGGCTGACTGCCAGTTTACACAGCCATAGAACACTGAAGGCTGACCCATTGCCTTTTTACACAGCCTCAATTAGCCTCAATTGTCAATGCTGTACGATATGTTGTCAAGGCCACTACGTGGGAGCGCCATAAGATAAGGCCTAAGAACATGCGTGTCTCCAACCGACTACCGTCGAAACGGCTGAAAACCTTTCGTGCTCACCCCTGTGCATCCCGTGGTCCCCAAATGACCGCGAAAGTGGCAGTGGCAGGCTGGTGGCTGGGAGGCCGCCTGCCACGAGAAGCTGACTTTGGCACTGCTTCTGCTGGACCGGATGGGCACCAGGGATTGCGGCTTAAGGAATACACGTCGGACACCGTTGCAGTGGTTTTCTCTTGGAGGAAAAAGAGCCCTTGAAACACAAATAAACACCCCTTCGCTTTGTTGTCCTTGGCATTAGCACAGCTTGTGTGAGGAGCTCCTGGGCAGCGAAGCAGAAGGTGAAGATGTTCCTGCTATCGCTGCCGGCGCCCCAGGAGGTTCTTGATTCCAACCGGAAGACTAATCAGAGCAATTATGGGCAATAATACCGAACAGAACCGTAGTAACCGCAAGAAAGGCAACGAATGCCACCATTATAGCAATACTAAGGCTCTTTGAAATATCAACACTAGAACTGATCATCGCGAGAACTCCCCCTAGAACAATGCGCCTGATCGTACTTGGCAGAGTGAGAGTGGCAATCGCCAAGGAACGAGAGAGAACTGCAAGTAGCATGGAAGCCTCTTGAAGGGGAGTTGTTCCTGGCTGGCGGCAGTTTTCAAACCCCGCCGCTCAAACAGAACTAGGTTACCAGAGCTTCCAGTAAATGGGACACAAGCAGCACAGGTCCTCTTGAGCCGAAGGCGTTTGGATGCTACCTGCTGTAGATAGAAGGAAGGCAGTTGGACCCCATCGCCAGCTAGACATCCTTTGTGAACAGCTTGGGAAGCTGACAGGTTGAGTGTTTCTTAGTGTCGGCAGCCCCGAAGCGAATGAAGTGAGGCAGGGCGAGGCACAGAACGGTAGCCAGCAGCGACGACGCATCCGAGGGCTACACGGCACCTATCGCCCAGCTTGCTGGAGAGATTGAGCGGCCTGGGCCCAGTTGCACTAGGGCTGCTTATTTTCACAGGCCGTAAGGCTCGCTGTGCCATCGATGCGTCGGGGTTTTCCCAGACGTTCAACATACAGCATGCAGATCTCTGCGGCTCGAGCTTGGCAAACTGAAGCCTGAGTTAACGAGCTCCAAGATGCTGAGGCGCCTCAAGGGGCAGAGTGGTGTCTTGCACTTAGCTGCCTGTGAAGAAATGTCTTGGGTGTGGCTGTACGCACGACCAGGGCCACATGCATGGAGTTTCCTGGAAAAGGGGCGATTCAGGGCTTCAGGCACCTTACTGGCGGTAGTGTGATCTGCGACTACTTGCCAACCTTTGCACTCACACCAGTTTACCGGCTCCGCATCGGCTAGAAGTAGAAAGGGTCGTGTGAGCGAATGTATGCGAATGTGAGCTGAGCCCTACCATATGGCAACTGAATCTCCGGGTACACCATGCTCTTCAGCTTAGTGCCACAAGAAGTCTGGCTGTGCAGGCCTCTAGGTGCTGCGGCTGAATTCCGAATTCACGATAAGAAGCATAATACTTGGCGGGTTGCATTGCATCTGCATGTATCTGCGCATGTATCCAAGATTTCACTGTTGCAGCAATTTCGCAAGCTGTGCACAAGCAATTCACTAGCGAGCACAAGGATCTGTCAACAACTTTTGGTTTCACGTCGCCAACTCAAATTTTGGAAGGCGTACCCAGCCTCAGCCCCTTGTAGCCATGAGACGCTGGGTGCTGCCCTGTTGTCTTTGCCTTGCCACGGCAAGGCAGCGCTGCCTCTCCCAAGTTGGTCCGACAGTCGAATGCACCTGGCGGTTTAAAGGGTGAGTACGGGGTTTAGGGGTTTAGAGAGAGGGTTTAGGGTTGTGTGGCAGGTGGCTGGACTATGAGGAATCTGGGGCAACACCTGGCAGTTCCAGTGCTGCAGCACAGAATACGGAGCTTCTGAACGCCATGCTGGCTTCGCTCTGCGCTGGGGTGTCTTGGGCCGTGAAAGCAAGTGTCCCGCAGGCTGCTGAGCTGCTGAGGGACATTTTGAGCGGACCTCTGCCGTCTGAGGACACACTCTTCGTCCCGAACAAGACTTTCTGGCTGGCCGGCGGTGTTCTGCTACAAAACGCTCGCAATGTAACTCTGCATCTGGACGGGACGCTGGAGTTCCTGCCAGGCATGACAGGTATTCTAGGCAGTAGTGTCGGCACGTCAGGTGCGACGGTCACGCAAGCTTCCGCAATTGCCAGAGGGCGCTGGCACGACAAACCGTAGCGGTTTGCAGTAGATGTCGTGAGTGATGTTGTCGCAAAGCTGAGAGATCAGTTTGTGTGTTCCTTGCCGGGCACTGATTAGAGGTGCCTCCTATACACTGCTAGGGTGCATACTGTCTCGGCCTTGTTCAGAGCCATCGGCACCTGCAAACCTAAGCAGGCCTGCAATGAAGCCTTGGTCTGACACGACCAGCGCAATTGCAATGCTTCGGCAGATCTTCGCTGTGAAGCCGGAGTCGGAGCAACTTCCAAGCTGCCAAAAATTAAGGTAGCTAAGTGGATGTGTACTTGGTAGTAACCGGACCTGTAGTGGTGCCGATAGCAAGTAGCGGGCTAGACTGCCAGTTTTTGTCGATTAGTTCGGCTTTGGGTCGCAGCTTTCGAAAAGAGCTTTGCATGTGCAGGCCGTGCGGGCTGGCCGGAGCAAGAAGGTGTCATCTGCAACTTGAATCCATTGCAGCCTGCGAGGGCCAAGCCACTCGCACCAAGAGCTCTTCTGGTGAGGGGTATGTGATGGTTGCAACAGGAGTTGCAGCAGACTGTCGGGCATCTACAGGCTCTACAGGAGTCAGTAGTCAGTAGTTGCTTTCCGGGGTCCATTGTGCGCGAAAGAACGGAGCATGAGGAGCCGTTTGTTCCGAGATTGTAGCTGCCATAAGACTAGCTCATTCCACCATGCACCTCTTGTTCTGCTGAAGGCGATGTGTGAAGGAAGCTATTTTCATCGCGAACGTCTCGAAGTTGACATTGACCAGCTTCCCGGCCGTCAGTACATCTTTTCAGTAGCGATGCTTGTGCCATTACCTGGTGAAGAGGTACCTCCGGTGGGACATTGAATGGGCATGGCAAGTCTTGGTGGGGCAGCTTGGCAGCACCTCAGTACAGATTGAGGCTCTGTATGTTGGTGAACAGCTGAAACCGTTTGCATCTGCAGGGTATCTCCAGTATTTCTTTCATGGCGAGAACCGTCCGCGTCTGTTGAGCATCTACAACGGCACGGACATCCTCGTCGAGAAGTGGAGCCTAGAACGCAATGTGTAGCTGCTCTATTTCTGCTCGTGCATGCGAGCACATGGAGGCCTTGAAACGAGCGACAAAAAACTCGAAGAGTTCGGATATGACTTGATGCCTGCTTTAAGGAACTTTTTGGATTCCGCGTACTGGACCTTTACGGCCCTGGACGTCGCAAGAATGGAGGCATGCTCGTCCTGCCTCCGAGAAGCAGTTCTTGGCATGCGGAATCGACCACAGCTCGCTGTAGCCACATACTGCCAGCGGTTTAGGGTTTAGGGGTTTAGGGTTTAGGGGGTTTGGGGTTTAGGGTTTGGGGGTTTAGGGGTTGAGGGTTTAGGGTTTAGGGGTTTAGGGATGTTTAGGGTGTAGGGTTCTCCAGATGCTGAAACGCACAGCTTGCAGATCCGCCATTGCACCGTCAGCGCCCGTGTGGACAAGTCTGATGATCATGATCTTGGGAACATGGATGCCCTCAACACCGACGGCTTCGAGACAGGCATTGTGCAGTTCCGTAGGGAGGAATGGCAAGATTCATACCCACTTCTGTCTTCTGACCTTTAGCCCCTCTCCTCAAGGCAACAAAGAGCGCCCCAAACTGCCGAAACTTTGGGCGTAGCTTCATGCGAAAGTTTCAAGAAGGGCGAGTGCTTTCGTCGCGGGTTGAAAGCCACATCCTGCGTGAAGTGATCCTGGCCAGCCCAAGGCTTTGATGTCGCTGGCCGCGACATTCACATCCACCACTGCAGCGTTTGGAATCAAGATGATTGTTTCACCGTCCAGCCACGGGACCGGACCGGCATTAATGCAGATTGCACAGAAAATGCCTCTTGGTTGCATTCCGTCTCAGACAAACTACTTCTGTAGCGGGGCAAGACTGTAAGGTCCCTAAGGTCCTGTGACATTTTGTGTCCCAGTATTGGTTTCAGGTCCTGGTGGAGCATGTCAATGCCAGTGGACTGGGTCTCACTATCGGTGCGGCGTCTTGTCTGCAGTCTTGCACTTCATAGTAATCATACTGCCGAATCGCATGGCTACTTACTAACACATGCCAGAGATGTCTGAGATGTATTTAGCCACTGAGCCTCCAAGGTGCGTCCCACTCCTGGGCACAACTGCGTCCGGAATGTGACGTTTCGGGATGCGTACATGCTACACACATTCAAAGGACAGCAGTCTAAGCCAAGTCTCGGTCATGTAAACCACGCCATTTTGAAAAAAATTGTAGATGCCTGCGACTATTGGAGGAATCTATCTGAAGTCGCAGAATTCCCCAGTTGAGGGAGTCCCCTGGCTTAACTTGCTGCGTGGAGTACGCGGGGAACTGAAGCCACAGGCCTGAAACAACAGAACTTGATTGAGTGATCGCCTCATCACCGCTAGGATGGTCGCAGTCTCCCTAGGTTAGCGGTGAGATTTCAAACGTGCTCTATGCGACTTGGCCTCTGCTTCAGCACCAGCCAGCCCTGATGGCACAGGTTCAACGTGATGGGCTTCGGAACTGCAGCTCACTTCTTTGATCGTGTCGGTGCATCGGTGCCAAAACTTAACCTGTGAGCTGAGCTCAGGAAGACATTGTCATGGATCGGCCAAGCCAGGTGCGGGAAGCATTCATGCGGAAGTTCCTTTGTTTGGGTGGCGCACGCTCATCTTCCGGAGCTGAACCAGAGGTTCCGATTTGGATAGGGCCCGCGCAAGAGGCGGACTCCTACAAGGCATCTTGATGTGCAAGCAGTGCTCGTTCTGCTGATTGGGGTTGACAGGTCTTAACTTGAACACCTAAACAGGGGCCGCGTTGGCAACGATGTGCCTGCAGCAAGCGTCTTTCTCTCAGGCCCGAAGCCTTTAATGGGCAACAATGAGGGCCAGAACCGAGAATCGGAATCCCAACCCTGAGCCCTTGGGATCCCTTGGGTTTCTACTTGTATTTGTTGCGGGTGTTAGTTCGCAGACCGCGGGGCTTCTCTAGCGTGATGGATATGTGTGGAGCCTTGCCTGCCTGGTGCGAGAGTGAGAGTCGAAATTCTTTGCTCATGAGTTGAATTCCTGGCGAAGCCCCGAGGCGTGTTCACTGCTTTGGCCAGAGGTGCCTTTCGTTGGGCTCTCAGCCACGGTTTAGGGTTTTAGGGGTTTAGGGATGTTTAGGGGTTTCCAGGGTTTTAGGGTTTAGGGCTGCTGTCCGACCCTGGTGAAGTGCGAAGCTTGTTGGAAAAGGGTTTAGGGGTTTAGGGCCTACCTTTTCCTTGAAGTTGGGAAAGGGCCATCTAAGCCCTCTGGTCCTATTGCATGCAGCTTGCAGTAGAGATGGCTGGGTTCTTCTGCATGTTATTGCTGATGCTGCGGCAAGCCCTGGCTCAGTTGTGCTGTGCTCCAGACGGCGAGGCCGACTGTTCACCACCGGGCGCGTCAATGCTGTGGGCAAATATAACTCTACGAAACATTCGGGCATCTTGACTGCACAACATCTGATTGCAGAACATCGTGGCCTTTCACTTCATGGTCCCCGATGTTGTGCAGGACCAGAGATGAATCCTGGATGCCTTACTCTCCTCCTCAGCCCAGGTACTGAATCCGAAGCAGAGTCCTGGCCTCGTCTATGGCAATCCGGACCGACCGATGCAGAACATTCACTTCGAGCTGCCCGACTGTACCATACGGCGTGTAGGGTGCGGGCTAGAACGTCAGCCGTCCCGTGTCGAACCGCAATGTGACCCTCCTGTTATGCCGCGTCCTAACCGGTGCAGTTAAGCTTGGCTCCTGGGTTTCCCTGCCAATGGTTTCGAGCCGGGGAACAGAACGCCCCGGCACTATGTTGGCAAGCATGCATGAGATCATTTCATATGGCGCATCATTGGTATAAGTGAGGAATGTCGTGACGGTGAATCCCGGCCTTCGGCCATGGGGCAGGTCCTACTACAAATGTGCATCCTGGCCGTTACAGCTTGCCTGTTCGTGCTCGGTTTTGGCAAGCAGTGGCTCCGAAACACTATTTGTCAGTGTTGACCCGCAAAGGACTTTTTACCTTCGCTGACATGCAAAAGCGCACAGAATAGAATAGAAAGGGAGAGAATAGAGTAGCATAGCATAGAGTTGCGTCTATAATACTGTTGCTGATATACATCCTGCATTACCTTAAGGACCCTAAACTATGGGAATTATGGTATAATGCAGGATTTACATCATCAACCGTATATTTAGTATGCTAAGGAGGGTGTCGCCGGCCTGGCTACTGCCGGGACCCGGCCAGCTCCCCCATGCTTCCGACAGCCGGAGCCAGTGGAGGAGGTCAGATCGCTTCCCCCACAGTTTAGGGGTTTAGGGGTTTGGGGATTTTGCAAAACAAGGGTTTAGGGTTCAGGGGTTTAGGGTTTAGGGATTTTGCAAAATTTGAGGGTTTAGGGTTTAGGATTTTTGGGTTTAGGGAATTTGCTGGAGTCCTTTGGCTTTCACCTGACAGGTTGGTCTCCTAGACTATCTTTTCGCCTGAAGAGGACTTGTATGTCAAGAGCCTGTCCGCATCGGTATGAAGCCAGTCCATTCACAGTTTTGACCTTACCTATGCTAAATTCATTAATACTAACTGCTATATAATTACCTAATGTCCATTTCATAGTAGTACATAAATAGTTGCAGAAGGATAGAAGTAGGTCTACACCTCGCGCAGCGGATAACTCGTCTCTTTCTGAGGGCCGGGCCGGGCCAAAGTTGCCACCCCGGGCCCTTCGCAGATGGAAAATCCACTCTGCCCTCCTCCGAGTGCGGCAAAAATGCCTTCAGCCAAGCGGGCATGCGCCAGACCCAGAAGGAACGGACATGATACGGAGAAATGGCCTCTGCAAGAGTTTAGCATGTCAGCTTGCGTGTGGACAGGCTCTCCTGACTCATGAGTCAAAATCTTGAGTACACACAGCCTTGGGTGAGTTTGCTCTGAGGCCGCCAGTCGGTCAGCCAGCAAGACTTGAGGCCCAGGGGAGTTCCGCTGGGCACCCGCGATCTGCAAAGTCGTCACCGCAGAGACCGAGAGTCAGGCTCCCCTAGCTGAACTTCAACTTCTGGAGTGGAGGAAGACGAAGTCCAGAGGTTTCACAAGTGCAGTGTGATCCCCGGCATCGGTGCTTCCATGTTGGCAGCTTCGATCTATGGGAAAGTCCCATGATAAGTTCCCATGCGTTGCTTAGTTCAGGTCAAAGCACATATGCCTTCCTTGTACATACAACAAAGCAGACCACGGAGCACAGGCAGCCTCCATCGCATGTTTCCAAAGTGGTGTGATGCTTCTCTCAAGGGTTGTCGCAACGACAGATCTCTGATGATTGCTTGCTGCATCTCCGGGTCTTGCTGCATGCATTCCGAATTATGATTTCGAGAGATTTCAATTCGTGAACCAGGTACACTCACATTGTGGCGTCACAGCTGACAGCACATATTTCAGCTGCAATGCAGGAACTTGATGGCTTAGGGAGGTGCAGAACCGGCACACACACGATCAAATACCTCGTTCACAGAACAGCGGTGTGACATGCTGTCGCAGACTGACGAGAAAAGGCGGCTTGCATCAGGACGATGATGGTGTTCTGTGGTCACTTCTCAGACGGCGCTGGAGAGACGATTGTCCAATTAGGCCTTGAGCACCTGTGTAGACAAGATCGGAACCCTCGACACGAGCACATCCAAAGTAATGTAACGTGACATGAATACTGGTGAGGGTTGTTTTGAGTGCTTTTGTGGGGACGCCAGCAATAACAACCTACCTTATGTAAGATCATCTTCTTGCCTCCACCCCTCGACAGGAAAACGTGAAGCCTTCCGTCCCACATTCGCCAGTGATCACGCATGTGTGCACCTTGGACCTAGGATTGGTTTGAGCCACAGAGAACGTAGTGCTTGGGACAGGGGTGCTCTAGCTCAACCCGGCTGTGGCACTCTGTTCTCTGTTCTAGGGTTCTTCTGCTGTCCTCGGCTCAACACGCTCGGCCCTAGAAAGCTGTAATGTTCCAGATAGACCGCGGTCAGTGCTGGTGTTCCCATCGAAAATCCGAATTCGATCTTGCATTGGCCAAAGTTTACCAAAATTGCTTAATCAAATCCATCGCGAAACTATTCATTAGAATAATTTCCCGAAGCACACCAAGCTTTTCTGAGGGCTTGGGTAATCTTGAAAGATTTAAACAATGTGGATCGAGGTGAACTTGAAATTTTTTAGTTGGGCCAAATTAGCCGACTGGCTGCGGTTCTATAACAAAGTGGGATGTAAACTTGTTTCTCCAACCTTCCAAATAATATTTCCGATACAATACCTACCGAATGTTTTGTTCTGTTTCTAGCTATACTTTTTAGATTCCCTTATTTAAGCGGTCATAGTATCTCTTCCAATGCTTAGACACAAATGGAAATCAAACTATATTTTTCGAATTGTTTCAACTCTTGGGCCACCTGGGAGGATTAGGGTAGCGCTTCGAATGTGTAGTCAACTTGTATAGTTCGAAACATCAGGCGACTTAGATAGTTGCAGAATCCGTAATCTTGATTACATGACCCAGATCACGTTACGTCTATTATTCGTGCAGAATGGATTCCGTTTGGAGATCATCCAAAGTACCCAAGAATGGAGTGTATTATGTGTAGTCTAGCTAGCCGCCAGGATGATGTCAATATCCATTTGGGATATCTTGTTCTGCCTGTTGTAAGGTATATAGTTGTCTTACTGGGTTATACAAAAGACTATTTGACATCGAAATCATAAACTGACTCATGTGCTTCTTTAACTTACTCATATGCTTCTTTATGCCCTGGTCTCGACAGGGAAATAGCAGGACATCCGGCCAGGGCCTGTCGTGCTCCCGGCCGGCAGGCTCTAGAATCTCTGAATCGCAGCCGAATGTCTTCAAAGATGAGATTGACCGTCCCATTATTCAGATTTTGGAATATTAGATCATCATGCATTCGGCCCTGATTGATCCCGAAGAGGTCCAGGCCGGATTCATTATTCATTTGCTTTGGCCCCTTGCGATCAAGAGGCTTCCTAATAGTGCAGAAGAATTGAGACTGGGCATCCCCCCTGGTTCCTTCCCATGTCACTTGCTGGTTGGGAAACATGCGCTCCTCGATGCAGCTTCTTGTGTCTGCGAGGCTGATTTCGTGTCGTGACCCGCCTCAGCGATACCTTGTATATTGGTGCTGGTGCTCTTAGAATACCGTGCGCGGCAATTCTGGACAGAAAACCAGACTATCGATCCCACAATGTTCCAATTTACCGAAACGCGATCGAGAGAGAGAAAGAGAGTATATATATATATATACATGTAGATTAATGTAGATTATTGTGCAGATATATATATATGTATGTATGTATGTATGTATGAATGCATGCATGCATGTATGTATGTATGTAAGTATGTAAGGTCAGGCGAGGTGTAGGTCTAACCCCAGGCATCGTCAGGCTTATTTCAAGCCATCTTCCACCCAGTCTCAGACAGTTAAACCGGGAGGCTGGAAGGATGTTTGTTGGTCCTTCCAGCCTCCCGGTGTAACAGTTTAAGACTGGATGGAAGATGGATTGAAATAAGCCTGACGATGCCTGGGGTTGGACCGACACCTCGAGTGCGAGTGCCAAAAGTATGTAGGTATGTAAGTATGTATACATAGAATTCATATTTAATATCGTTATATAGTTTCATGAACGTATGTCTGAAGATTAGATGAGGCAAGCTTCATATGTTCGACCAAACAGTAAAGCATGTTGGCTTACACTTTGTACGAAATCGAATATTAATGGGTAATCATTTATTGTCGTCAAAAAATTTAAGAGTATAGTAATGAAATAGAGATTAGACTGACATACATACGTGGCACTTGTGGAACATCTATGAAATAAGGGGAGCACCGGGCTGTGCATCTGCTTGAGCAGCTCGCAGCCTCTTCGGATCGAGTTTTACTACATCATGACGCCTGCTCTGCGCGGTGGCATCCCTCCACCAAGGGCTTCGTCGCCCCGAGTGGCGACTTGGACTGGGAAGACTGCAGCGCTGATCATTGGAAATTGCTGACCGCCTGCTTAACAAGTGAGGACTGAGTATCGCATTCGGTTTTTTCCATATTCCCTCCCATAAGCTGGTTTCCAGGGCTTGTATACACACGACCCAGGTCTCGGTCACGCGGGGTTGGAAGCTTGGTATCCGACTCCCAATCGAGCTCTCCATGTTTCGCATGGGACCTTGCCTGAGGTCAAGCGCGTCACCTGCTTGGGCCCTAGGAGAAATCATGACTCCATGATTTGTTTTGAACGGTGAGGCCGACAATTCATTTACGAACAAGCACACCTCCGCGTTATCGTGGCGCCGCCAGTATGCTGATTTTTTCTAGATTCAGTTATAAGCACTACTCTTTGAGGATTTGAAGTGCAGCGTCCGGTTCAATGTGCTGCCGCAGCCTGATCGATACACAGCATAGTGTGCTTAGTCCATGAGCCCGCAGCTATCCCAGGCTGCCTCGTCGGCGTGCATGACGCCGCGCAGGGTGGGGGCCGTAGTAATCCTAATTATGATAAGTCCTTTATGCAACAAGTAGTCCTTTTCATGAATTGTTGAGGTCCGGATCTTGAATAACGAGGATGCTTCAGCCGCGCTCTCATTCACCGGCACGTACATCTCAGGTAGCGGTGGGCTTTCTGTCTGGAGCGGTCTGTTCAGGCTGACAGCTTCCAGACGCCACCGAAAGAGGCTTGCATCGGCAATTAGTTTGAAACTAGAGAGGTATCACGGGATAAGTTGAGTCATATTTTGCTCTTCGAAAGTCAATGAATGAGTTGCCAGTCGCGGAAGCCGGCGACCGATGCGCAGTTCACCACGCCGCTCGATTCCTGATTGGATATTGGATGATGTTTGGTTGTTTTAGGAGGTCTGGACTCAGTCGTTGTTTCGTTGGGGTTTTCTGAGCTCGAACTGTTGCAGCCCAGGCAAGGAGATTCGTTATGAAACAAGTGTCATTTTTAAATCTTGATTGACTGAACACTTCAATATACCATACAGTGGAAGATGTGGCTTGGCCGTGAGGAAATAACAGCTGCTCGGATGAGCCCGGATGCTCCCTTCTGACGACACTTCAGGCTCTTGCCAAACTCGCTGCCTGCTGCAACTTCCCACGGACAGGCAAAGCCTTGACCACAGAGATGGCCTGTTTCGCTGCGTTTCTCGTCTTGGTAATAACTTCTAGATTCGCTCGATGTCGGTCTTCCTATCAGTATGCCACCTTGACCGTGGAGGAGCTGTTGAATCTGAAGACCGGTGCTCAGCCGGTCATTCGCCCAAGGGAATGAGGCAAAATGTTGCCATGCAGTTTGACAGGTCGGAGTTGGTGGCCGCGCAGGACGCGTGGCAGGCACCCGGGTTAGTTGGGTGCCGGAGTGGGCGCGGGGATGCTTTGCAATGCTTGGGAGGCTGCCGGTGCGCAGCAGCATGAAGCTGAGGCAGGATGCATATTTTGGGTGGAACTGTCTGCGAGATCTGATTTGGGGATGAAAGTTTGGTCGACGAAAGGCCAGCATCGCTCAGCTGAAGGACGAGTTGTCCGGGATGAAGGCCGGATCTCGTTTTCGGAGGAGTCGCAATCGCTCCTAGCTTCGAAATGCTTACCGCTGTCTTCTGGAGGCTTGCTTAGAGCAAGTTCAAGAGTGGATCCCTCAGTGATCACTAGTGAGTTATCTCGAGGCAGGGAGCGGCCCCCTTAATATATTCCCGCTTGCGAGGTATCGCAACCAAGATCAGGTCCAGCGTATCTCTAAGATGAGCTTTCATTTGAAATGGCCCTTGTCATGTAGTGAAGGCCAGCATGGTTGAGCTGAAGCAGGAGCTGGTCACCATGAAGGCGTGCTTTCTTGTCACTGGGTTTGTCGTTGCCTTTGCAACCAATCAGAATTTTGTGCATTTTTCATCGCAGGTGGCTTCACAGTCATTGCAGCGAGAGTTTGCGCCTTGTGATCTCGAAGAGGCACGAAATAAGTTAGAGGAGAGCTCTTGCACGTGTCGCCTAGGCTTGAAGATGGAGCTGGTTGCCGTGCAGCCTTGGCTGCTCTACTGGATCAGCGCGAGCAGGATCGACTAGAATGAATTGAAACAGTTCCTATGGATGCCCTATTCACGGCTCCTGGGCGCATTTTGATGTTCTCCACAAACCTAATCAGTGCCCCAAAGATTAAAGTGCATTCAGATTGCTCCTGGTGTGGTGTGTGGACCGCCCCTTGATAAAGTGTCTCTATGAGGTAATTGGTATTCAGCACGATGGTTTTCCCATATCTTTTTGCTTGAATGTTACTTCGTCCTTTGAAGTAGAAGTGAACACGAAATTAAGTAATGCTGCAGTATCATTCTGGTTATTTTTTGTGTATTCCACCTTGACCGTGGAGGAGCTGTTGAATCTGAAGACCGGTGCTCAGCCGGTCATTCGCCCAAGGGAATGAGGCAAAATGTTACCATGCAGTTTGACAGGTCGGAGTTGGTGGCCGCGCAAGACGCGTGGCAGGCACCCGGGCTAGTTGGGTGCCGGAGTGGGCGCGGGGATGCTTTGCAATGCTTGGGAGGCTGCCGGTGCGCAGCAGCATGAAGCTGAGGCAGGATGCATATTTTGGGTGGGACTGTCTGCGAGATCTGATTTGGGGATGAAAGTCTTGGTCGACGAAAGGCCAGCATCGCTCAGCTGAAGGACGAGTTGTCCGGGATGAAGGCCGGATCTCGTTCTCGGAGGAGTCGCAATCGCTCCTAGCTTCGAAATGCTTACCGCTGTCTTCTGGAGGCTAGCTTAGAGCAAGTTCAAGAGTGGATCCCTCAGTGATCACTAGTGAGTTATCTCGAGGCAGGGAGCGGCCCCCTTAACATATTCCCGCTTGCGAGGTATCGCAACCAAGATCAGGTCCAGCGTATCTCTAAGATGAGCTTTCATTTGAAGTGGCCCTTGTCATGTAGTGAAGGCCAGCATGGTTGAGCTGAAGCAGGAGCTGGTCACCATGAAGGCGTGCTTTCTTGTCACTGGGTTTGTCGTTGCCTTTGCAACCAATCAGAATTTTGTGCATTTTTCATCGCAGGTGGCTTCACAGTCATTGCAGCGAGAGTTTGCGCCTTGTGATCTCGAAGAGGCACGAAATAAGTTAGAGGAGAGCTCTTGCACGTGTCG